TCACACACACACACACACACACACATAGATATATACATACATTTTCAAAAATAAAAATATATAAAAGAAGTCATCAATAAGCATGAATAGAATGAAACATTAAATGGAATACATTCTCTGCTGCCTAAACATATACGTATCGGGTGACACATGCTGCGACCCCATGACTTATATCTCTGAGGTTTACGGCAAAATTTGATGTCAACTTGGCTTTCAAATATCTTTTGTTTTGAAGGACCCCATCCCAAATATTTGTAGTTATTATATTCACATCCTGATCTTATCAACATTTTCGCAGGTGAGAATACAGCCAGCAGCATTAACTAACTATGTCTTGTAAATAGGTCACTACAGACAAGTCAGAAAAGTGACATTTAAGGGAAATTAGGCCCTACAAGAAGTGTCAGTCTTGTGGCTTCCTGAGGCAACAGGGTTAAAAAAAAGCATGCGATGTAAACTGTAAACCAGCAAACGCAGGGCAGGGAGCAAGGTGCTTGGTAGTTAACACAATCACAAACTGTCACTGCAAACAATTAAAAAAAAATGTTTATGAACAAACAATAGTAAAGACACAGTAATCGGATCTATAAGCAACATGAAACGATGACTGACAGTGACAGTTTAAAAAAAAAAAATTTCTGCAACTATAATGAAGACAAGCAAATTATATTTGCAAACATTAACCCTACCACTGCCTCTCAAAGACCAACCCCACGTCCTCGTCGTGAGAGGTGGTAACAGGACAAAGTAGGGGATTGCTAGGTGTGGGCGAAGTATGGTGTGGCCTCGTGCCACGGGACCGCTTCGGTAGCCATGAAGGCCACCCTGGGTCACCCCAAAACGTCCTGGCCAACGGGGCTCTGGTGAAGTTGCGACAGGCCTAGCAAGCCGGCAATGGATTTTTTACCGCTACAGAAATCAAAATGAGATATAAACGGACTGACCAAACGGTATCTGACCATGGCAATGTTAAGGGACTACGAGACAGAACAGCGAATTACAAGATTGCAACACTTAACACCGCTGGCCTGGGAAATAGAACAGAAGAGATTATTGAAATGATGGAAAAAAGGAAAATCAAGTTAATGGGGGCTAGCTGACATAAGACGCAAGTGAAATATTAATAAGAAAATACACAGAGGCTACTTACTAACATATGCAGGAGGAGAAACATTGAAGAATGGAGTGGGTTTCCTGGTACATCCGGACATATCTAACTACATATTAGACATACATTATCACTCAGATAGAATCATTACTTTGAAAATTAAAAGAGGAGAACAAGCTTAAACATATATACAGATAAATGCACCATGCAATGATAATTATACAGAAGAGCAGAAAGATGAATTCTTTGATGATCTGTCCGATGAGATAAAGAAAGTTGAGGGAAGCAGCATACTATATGTAATGGGTGACTTCAACGGAAGGGTAGGAAATAACAGAAGAGAATACGAACAGTTTTTAGGTCCATATGCAGCTAAGAACAGTGCTAGAAATGGAAATGGTCAAAGAATGTTGGATCTATGCAGCCAGCACAATCTTTTTATTACGAACACATTCTTTGACCATAGAGATTCACAACTTTACACTTGGTACAAATGGAATGATGTCTCCATCAAGAGCCAGATTGACTTTATACTTACTAGAGTTCAAGGAAGAAAGAGAATTCTTGATTCAAGAGCAATCCCTAATGGTCTATGTGACACTGACCATAAAATAGTTGTGTTAACAGCAAAACATCTTACATTAAAGAAACACAGAAAGAAATTAAACAAAAACAAGGATCTCATCAAGATAGCAAATCTGAAACAGGAAGGAGTAAAAGAACAGTTACAACAGAAAGTAGAGACAGCATTCAAACAACTTCCACATGTAGTTGGCAATATTGAGGAAGAATGGAGTATATATAAAAACACTATGCTTAGTATTGCAGAAGAATTATGTGGAAAACGGAAGAGTGGAGACAGACGGGGAAATAACAAATATTCATCTTGGTGGTGCGAAGAAGTAAAAGAAGCAATTAAAAAGAAAGACATATAAACAGTGGATAAAATCAAAGAAAGAAGAAGATTATATAAACTATAGACTGCAAAGGAGAGAAACCAACAGGAGTGTCAAGAAAGCAAAACAAGCATCATGGGAAGGTTTCGGTGAGTCACTAGCAGAAAATGAGAAAACCGCCAGCAGAAAATTTTTCAAAGTGATTAAAAATATGCGGAAAAGAGATGAGAGCTACAACCCCACTGAAATAATTAATGATAAGACAGGAAGGCCATTGATAGATCCACCCGAGATAGCAGAAAGATGGAGGGAATACTTCAATGAGCTCTTTAATCCTCTAGGAGATCATCAGGAAAGAACAACTGAAGAGCACAGAGCAACAGTGTTAGAACCACACATACTAATGGGTGAAATAGAAAAAGTCATTAAACAGTCTCCCAAATATAAAGCACCAGGAGCTGATAGATTACCAACAGAAATAATTCAAGCAGCAGGTGAAAGCAGCATCAGATGGCTTCACAGAATATTCAATGCAGCATGGGTACAACAAACGGCCCCTATTGATTGGCAACATGCAATAGTTATACCATTGTGGAAGAACAAAGGAAGCAAACGAGAATGCTGTCAATATCGAGGCATCTCTCTTTTAAGCCATATTGGCAAAATGTATGCCAAGATAATAGAAACAAGACTGAGACCAGTGATAGAACCACAGCTGGCAGAAGAACAGATGGGATTTAGGAGAAACAGAAGCTGCACAGATGCAATCTTCACACTTAAACAGTTAATAGAAAAGAACATTGAATACAATAAGAACTTTTTTGTGGCATTCGTAGACCAGGAGAAGGCATTTGACAGAGTCGACAGACAATTACTATGAAAAATAATGGCAAGATATGGAGTAAGCGAACACCTCATCGAAGTGTGCAAAAGTTTATACAGGGATTGTAGAAGTGTAGTTAGAATAAATCAGGAAACATCTCATCCTTTCACAGTGACATCTGGAGTAAGACAGGGGTGTGTCTTATCACCACTGCTGTTTATCACCTACATCAACAGTATATGCAAGAATGCCAAGCCCATGAATGAAGATCTTAGTAAGATCAACGAATTACTCTTTGCAGATGACCAGGCCTTGATAACAGATACAGCCATGAAATTGCAACAACATCTAACATCCATGAATGAAGAATGTAAAACAAATAATATGAGAATCAACACTGAAAAGACAGAAGTAATGTCAATAGGAAAAAAGAAGACAGATCTAAACATAGCATTTGAATACAAAGACATTAAACAGGCATCTGAGTTTAAATATCTGGGAACTACATTTACCGAAGATGGGAAATTGGATAAAGAAATTGACATTAGATGCAGTAAAGCAAACCAAGTATTGGGACAGCTAGCCCCCCTCTTACAGCATAAGACAATCCCAATCAGCACAAAGAGACATCTTATTCAAAGCATATTTATTCAAACTCTGTGCTTCCAGTGCCAGACATGGTCACTCACAACAAACCATAAAAGAAAATTAGTAACCACGGAAATGAGATGTCTGAGAAGGGCTGTAGGAGTGACCAGAAGAGATAAGATCAGGAATGAGATCATAAGAGAACAGGTCGGCACAGAACCAATTCTGGATTACATACAAAGACAGCAAGTGAAATGGTTTGCCCACTTAGAGAGAATGCCTTGTGACACCATACCATACAAAGCATACATGGAAAGAGAAGAACGACGTAGAGCACGGGGTAGACCAAGAACAAGATGGAAGGATAACATCAGAGAAACTCTACAACAGCACGATGTGCCTATGGTCGAGGCAGCCAGAAGAGCTAGAAACAGAACCTTATATCTCCCTCGACACCCACAGCGGTAAAAGAGGAAGTGAAGAAGAAAAAGAAGAAGAACCCTACCACCCCACGAAGGCTAAATCTGATCACTTCTGGTTGTGATACAACCCTAACAATTCTGACTTGTTGCATATACATGCATGTATGTGTGTGTATGTGAATATATGACTGTATGTATATATGTATGTGCGTGCATTTGTGTGTATTCTCAAAAAGCATTGTCAAATGCCAATGGTTCTATGTGCACCTACGTAGTGTTTAGGTGGCCCGGATGTGAATATATTAACGTAATACAGCATTTAAAGGGGTTTCCATGTGAAGCCAATGGCTTTTCTTAAAGCCAGGCTGACTTTCCTGTAAGCCTCAGTGACAGAGGTCACAGGGTCACAATTGAGTCATCTAGTACACATATCTTATAGGCCCCAAGGAATGCATTTCACTGAATTCTTCACTGTGTTCTTGTTTACTGACTCCTCCATTTATATATCTGATATATGTTGACACCAAATTTTAAAATATGTAAATTAATAAGAGTTAAGCAAATTTAGTTACTTGGGTAAAATAGTTGCTTTAAAAAAAAAATTCTTAAAAAAAAAAATGAAATTTCCATGGCTTAATCTTTTAAGCAAATGCTGGGTGAAAGGGTTCAAAATAACAAACTGAACAATAAAAATATCCTTGTACACAATGTTTATGTGTATGAACAAAACAAAACTATTTTTAATAATTAATTTAACTAACAACCTGTGTTTGTAATTCTAGACTTTAACAAAGTGTGACTATAAAGAATAACAAACAAGAAGTGTTTGCAATTAAATAAAACAAACTCTGCATTTGTAATTATAAAGAATAGGAAATATTATAACCAACATACTGTTTATGACTGTAAACAATTGGTAAGTTGGAAAACAGGGTTTGTAATTATTACAAACAGTTACAAACATACATGAAAACATTTCTCAAAAACCCTTTCTTCTGGTTTAAATGGAAAAAAGTCATTACATAAAATCTCAGTGAAACAACAACAACAATAACAAGTCTATCGTGTACATTGCACAAAATTTGAAACAAATTCAATTTTCTCAACCAATCTAAGAGTCAAGCACTGGCCATATATTCAGCTGTGTGGTTCCCGTAGCCGCACTAAATGGCAGACAGCCGTCGCTTCTCTGCCTCCGTCAACTCCGGGTGCCAGAAATCAACGATGAGTACAAGTCGCAGCTCCGAACCCTCATGCCAAACTTCATGTTCAAAGGAGTCGTCAAAGATAATGAAGTCGCCCTCTTTCCATGTCCTGAAATAAAGGTAAAATGTATGCTTAAGTTAGTAATGGTATTTATTTACTTTCTGTGTGAGTATATATTTGTCGGTAGGTATGTGAGTCTGGAAGTGTATGTGTGAGAGACAGAATGTACATAAGTAGTAGTAGTTGTAACAATAAAATGTCCCCTCAAAAACTCACTGTCTACTTTCAATATTTCAAATCCTCACATTTTTAGAAAAGTGACTTGTTAATTTTTTTGGTCACCTCATGTATTTCTTTGTATTTTTCTCAGAAACTGTACCTTTAGTCATTCTCCATATTTGTTGTATCTACAAACACTGGTCCTGTAAGGATGACTGACATTTACTTTTAAGTTTTTCTAATATTTTTGTAAAAAAGATGTAACAGTATTCAGTAGCAATATGTTCCATTCACTTTTCTATCAAATACGACCTTTCACGCCAGCTGCCAAACATATACTAACTGATCAGACCTTAGTCTAATCTTTCAACCCTCGTTTTGGGTTTTACGTGCTGGCTTCACTGTTCGTAAATATCTCATGTTTCTACAAGTATTCACATTCTCATGTATTTCTCTCTTTTCTCATGTTGACTCATATATTGTCATTTAGGGAATCCCTGTAGGAAAATACCTATTTGTTTTTAAATGAATACAGATTTATGAAAACAATCACTTTATTCTTCTTCCTGCTCTTTTTCTTCCATGAAATGTCTTCAAATTTTTATCAAAAATTACATTTTAATCATTATCCCTGTTTCAGCTTCACACAGAAGTATTGATTTCACATGGGGGTTAAAAGTTCCAAATTTGTATAACCAGTTTTAATCTCTTTTGACTTTCATAAGATAGGCAACTAACCTTTTTTTTTTTTAAACTGATACTGACTCAATGACTGTAACTAGTCTGATAGCCAGTCGGCTACATACCTTGTCTCATTCATTACTCTGATAATAGGCCCATCTGGCACAACCAGACCTAAGTGAGCCCTAATCCTGCAGTTGGTGGGACCAACGTGAGGCCAGACATGGATACCTGGACTCATCACTGAAAACTTCACCTGAAACAAACGTTAATTGAAACTGAAAGTCATAGATGAACAAGAATTATTGGGTCATTTAGATATCATACAGGGTTCACAGCCTACTTCCCCATTCAGCTCAACCTTGTGCCATCCTTTCTTCTTCTTCTTCCTTTCATATTCTTCTTCTTCTTCCTCGTCTTCTTTCTTCTTCTTCTTCTTCACTGGCACACTGTTTTGTGGTCATATCTGTGACTTTTGACCTAATTCATCCTATTCCTTCATTCGGTCTAATCCTGTGCCGTCCTTTCTTCTTTTTCCATCCTTCTTCTTCATTCCTCCTTTTTCTTATTACCCTCCCCCCTTTCCTCTTCTTCTTCTTCTTTGTCTTTTCCTTCTTTGTCTTCTTCTTCTTTCCTCTTCTTTTTACTTCATCTTTCTTCTTTCCTCTTTTTTATTCTTCACTGGCACTGTTTTGTGGCCATATCTGTGACTTTTGGTCCAATACAGCCTATTCCCCCATTTGGTTCATCCTTGTGCCATCCTTTCTTCTTCTTCATCTTCTTCTATAGGTACATTGTTTTGTGGTTGTGAATGTGTGACTTTTTACCCAATAGGGCTAATTTCAGCAACTCTTAATTAGTCACCTTTTACAACATGCTTGTATGTAGGTAGGAGTGTTGCTGAAAAAAAAAATCATCACATTCAACCAGAATCTCTAAAGGGGTAGCTTTAGGTTATAATTGTGACTAGACTCTGTGCACCATATATAATGGCTTAGCACTGCATGCCACCAAGAGCCCTGAAAAGGACTCCTGCCATGTTGATGCGATCAAAGCAGACAGACCCAAATACTGTCTCGACCACCGACAAAGTTGTCTACTGGCCAGCCAACAGGCGACCTGGTCACAGATGAACATGTTAAAAGACAGTGAGTATATCCACCACCCCACCTCCTCCCAACCATAGCAACAAAAGGGATCTTGGAACCTCTAAGGGGATGTTCAATCCTTCTAATATCATGTATGGGATCCAGCTGACACTTCTGCTCTCTCTCTCTCTCTCTCTCTCTCTCTCTCTCTCACAACATATTTAGTAAGGTTTTACTATATTTAGATTGTTTACAGGACAAAACAGACTCTGCAGCCATACATACAAGAAATTCAAGATTTGGGGACTCAGAACTTTGCCCATGTAGACAGGCACCACTGAATGTTGAAAGTGTTCTACGGACATGTTCTGTACATGCAGTAGAGAAATGCCGGGTTTGGCCGGGCGGTATTCCAATGGAAATCCAGCTCTGATGTGGATCACCAGAGGGTTTCTCTTGCAGGTCCTCTATCTCCTCAATCCATTTATTTCCCATTTCAGTGCCTGTTTGCTAAGTCTCTACATCTTCTCAGAATGTGCCAATATATTGCCATCTTCTGTGTTTTATAATTGACATTTTTCTGATTACAGCTCCCATATGCCATGTGTTAACACTAAAATAATAGTGAACATGGCACTTAAAAGAGAAGAAAACAGAGAACATAGATCAAAATTTAAACAACAGTGGACATCGAACATAACTTGTGTTTTCACAAACTTACTTGACCTCGCTTGCAACCTTTCGCATCAGGAATTTGGTCTATTAATTTACATGTTTCTGGAACTTTGGCACAGTTTTCCGTTTTCTTTCGACCTGCAGGGTGAAAATTGAAAGCTTAACTGGAAAAACAAACACTCTCTGGTTTCATAAACAAAAATTGCTTCACAATAATGCTAAAAAAATATAATCTGAAATTGGTTGACAAATGATTAAACGTTTACTAATCTATCATCTACCTTGATAGATTAAAAAATTCAATTAAAAATTACAAATGCAGCTATATTTAATAGCAGAATATCTTTGGCCTTGTATTAATGAATAAAAGAGAGTATTGAGATGTGATACGAGTTAAATAAACAAATATGGTCTCTATTAATGTCAACATATAAGAAACAAATAATTAAATACACTAGTGCATGAATAAATGAATCAAGAAGTGACATTACTGCACTAGGGAAATTCCCACATGTGCTCGGTCCCCTTCTTCAGTAACCAGTGAAGAGCCCTCATGCTAATAGCACCAGTGGAAACCTGATTTAAAAATCTGCCTCTGTTTTCCCCCAATGTTGAATATCTTCCAAAATCTATAACGCCTTTCCTGTTAAAATATCTTTCAATGTATGGATTCTCTATCGGTTCTATAGCACTAAAATAACATACAAACATTACCACTGTCTCTATGTGGAAGTTAAAATGATTTCTCTTTCTTATTCTTTGTTTGTCCAATTTTTGTTGTTGTTGTTGGATTTAACTGTATGATTCCTGTTGGTTGTGATATTTGCGCCTTTTGGCTGACACATCAAACTTCTTAAGGCATTTGTTCTCCACTTAACTTTCTCCATTAGTTTCAAGGGTCTCTGCACAGTTCAATGTGCAGCATTGCAGATCGTGACAACACAGCGTAGCACAGGAAAATAACTAAGCTATATACCTTGCTGATATAAGGTGAACTGTTTCCAATCTCCCGTATCTCGCAGATTTTCTTCCTCAGGAAGAAAAGACCCTGTTTTGGCATTCAGCTGAGCAAGACCTTCCTCACGGATGACTTTCCAGTTGTCCTTTAACAGCTGCAGTAAAAACAACAATATTTCAATGAATCAAAAATGCAGTTCTAAGATACAATATTTTAATGAACATTTTCTTGACGTTGCTGATTTGTAGTTAGCTTACTGTTTTTTAAATTATAACCAAGTTGGCCAAGTGGTCTAGAGATACAATTTTTGCTTTTACTTGCAGAGGTCCCAAGTTCAAATCCCGGCCTGAATTAGAATATTCTGTCTTAGTATCAGATTTGCAAAGCATGCTAAGAAAAGTGGAGAAAGGTGGTCTTCTTCATATGGATCCATTCTGAGGTCGCAGGTGGAAAGAATCACATGGTTATTTTACCCAGGTGATGTAGGTGTGTTTAAGAATGAGCATGCAGATAGGCTGGCTGGACTAGTCCCACTTGGGGGTGGGGGTATTGCAAGCTGATCTCTCACCTGTGTGACCAGGTAACAAGTAAAAGTGAAGATTGTAAAAACTCGTAGCTGGAGAGAATGATGTAGTAGGGAAGTGTCTTTGGGCTCTGGGTATCACTGGAGACTTGGGGGAGAGGTAAGATGAGTAGTTAACCAAATGGCAATGGTACCATCAGTATGGAAACCCTTCACTGGCTGTTGAGGAGGCAGACGGAGATTATATGGCTGCTCCTGAAAGCTGTGACTTCAACTATTTATCCACATAATATTTTAACCAAATTATTTGATTTATTTTAGATTAACTCTTTGAGTCCCAAGGAACGCATCATACGTTCATAGATTCCTACCTAGAAGCCCAATGAACGCAAGATGCACCGATTTTACATCTCTCTTGACTACCCCTTGGGCCTGTGATGCTAAACCCCCTGGGACTCAAAGAGTTAATTGTCACCACTCAAGCACAGACAAGTAAAGTAACCGTTACATTAGGCAGTTTGTCTTTCTGTGCCTTAAAAAACTGAATCACACCTGTATACATTTTCATAGAAAAGATATAAAACCGAACGAAAAGTATTTCAGCAAGCTTCACAATATAACAAACACAAAGTGACCGCTGCGGCTATGAAGCCTTCATCAGCACATACATAAATCAAACAACACCACACAAATACACAAAAATCACTTAGCTGGTATCATGAAGCAGCCGGGTCAAAGACTTGTCAGTAGACTGGCCAGAAACGTGGGACAGGGGAATAAAAAATACATTTTCAAACAAACCTGAAGATATTCTTGATAAGGTGTCTGCTCCGTTGTCCACCAAGGTCGGGCGGTCAGCCTGTCAACATTATACAGGGATCGCTGCCAAGCTGATAGAAACAGACCTTTGTCTGCACCTTCCTGAAAGACCTTTCTTGCCTGCGCAACAAAAGAAAAAAAAAGAAAGTCACAAAAAGACTTTTAGATAGTTCTTTTAGATATTTCAGGATATTTCTTGAAATTCTTCTTTTAGATCAGGTATTGGAGGTTTTTTTAAAAATATTAGACAAAACACAGTTAAAATATTTATATCAGATATTTCAAGACAATGAAAGAGCAATACTTATTTTCGGTAATAGTTATTTTTGTGAAAAAAGGGTCTTTTTTTAAGCCCGGGTTGCATATGATGCTATTTTTGTTTTCAACAGACAAAGTGGTACTTGGTGGGTGAGGTAGTTGACATTGTGCCGACTATCTTTACTTCCCATGATATTGTTTAAGACTGAGGTCAATGTTAGGTTAGGTTTGGGGGGAGAGGGGGGGGGAAGGGTGGAAGGGTGGGAGGAATGCTGTAATGTGGAAGTGAAACCAAGACCTTTGGGCTAGCAGGCGAGTGTCTAGCCACTACACTGCTGCGGCTCCCAACAGCATCTGTATGAAACAAAAAAGTGTACCAATGATGAGCGGGGATGTTTCATCACTCAGTTACAATCATAAGATAGCTATTATCATTCTGTTCTAGTGCCCAGAATGTAAACTGTGGATTATTTATTCATCTGTGTGATTGAACAAACTGCCAATTACTGCCCTTATTATACCACTTTTGCAAAATAGACAGGGAAGTCTTTGAGCCTGAGGATTTATAGCTGCATGGCTAGTGCTGTTGCCATGACTGTGCGGGTGAAGATTTTATTTTGCCCCCGACAGAAAAAATTCTCAGCCTCATCGAGGATTTGAACCCAGGTCACCTGCTTGACAGCCCAGCGTGCTAACTGTTCGGCCAGCCGCTCCTCAAAAGAACAGCAATACTGCAAAATATCACAAAGAAAGGTATAAAACGAGATGAAAAATAGAACCAGTCAGCATCACATTATCTCAAACACAAACGACAGATGAACACTGAGACTAGACAATCTTCATCAGCATATTAAATAAATCTATAAAACCACAAGTAGAAACAGAAACACACAACAATCACTTAACTGAAGTATCTCTGAAAGAAATCACATTTCTGTCTGGCTGGTAGAAAAGCTGACATGTGTGTAACCACCGTAAATATATATTAGCCAGAAAAAGCCATCAGCAACAAGGGACACATAAAATATGCACATCCTAAGATTAAGTATAGTAAACAAACTGAAAAGTACTGACTGGCATTCAAAAAAGAAGTAGGGAAATAAGGCAGTTGGTCATGCATCGAAGTACAATTGTTCCTGCAGGGAAGCCCTGTTGTTCTCTGTCATCTACATTCAACACATCAGCTTCTTCAGGAGGATATATCCTCTGAGCTGGAAATGCAACCTGAAAACTCTCTACAAGATATATCCTCTGAGCTGGAAATGCAACCTGAAAACTCTCTACAAGACCCTTAGCCTGGGCACACAAGGCCCTTAGCCTTGGCTGGCAGCTGGTCTTAGTGGAAAGCTCCAAAGGCAGACAGACAAAGCCAACTCCTCTGATCCAGCAGCATGCACTGTTTCATATATGTCACTTTACCTTTCCTTTGCAATAAACAAGGCAGTCTGGTAGAGAGATCATGCTGCATGGGCAACATATGTTCTCTCTTCAATAATGCCTAGGCTTTGCGCATTTCAGCCATGGGGTGTGATTCCCATCTGCCTACAGAGCAATGGACCACTATCGTCTGGAAACATGGAGAGGTGCAAACAAATGTAGAAGTCTTAAAGCTAGCTAACTCACCTCACTTTCACGTCCCAGGCGAAGCAAAGAATCCCCCAGCTGCAAATAAAAGCGGCCGTCAACAGTTCCAGAAACCCCCGATGCAATCCCTTCAGTCAGAAGCTGAACAGCTCCTTCTAAATCATTGTAATGAGTCTTCAGAATAAAACCCAAATGAGCCTTTGCAAACCCATTGCTTGGGTCTTTCACCAGTACCTACAAGTAGATACAAGTGGAAGATTTGGTATTATACACTGATAAACAATAGGGAGGAATAAGTTAATCCTTTTACGACAGGACGCTGAAAAAAAATAGATCATGACCCTGTTAGAATTCCAGAACAAAATTTGTAAAAACAATTATTTTTATACAGGACACTAACAATTTATTAAAAATGTATTATTTTTTTTTAAATTTATAAAGACATATGAAAGGCGTAATCAATCAAAAGATGACAGTGAAGAGTTAAATGGAATACATCTCCCAGGGCCTAAAAAAACACACATGTATCATGTGATTCACACTATGACCTCGTGACCTCTATCCCTGAGGTTTGCAAGAGGTCTATCCCTGAGGTTTGCAAGAGAGACAAAAACTAAAACAATACTACAGGAAGAAGACAAGAGGCAAACCAAGAAAGATCTGGATACAGATTATTGCTGAGTGAACAGGCCTCAAACATGCAAACATCATGTTTAATGCATCTGATTAACAGAGGTAGGGCAGCTGATAAGACAGTCAACAGCAACTGGTACATCAGTGACATGCAATGAGGGTGGGTTTCTGTGGCGAAATTGTCAAGCCGTTTGCTTCATGCTCTGAAAGTTGTTGGTTGGTTTTCATGGCTGCACCGTTCAGTTCCAGAGTGCAATTTTTATGCAGTTCCCTGGGAATCGTCGCCAGAGCTACAGAGTTTGTGCTCTGTGCGGCGCTCTCGGCAGGCAGATAGGAATTTTGCTGAGAGAGACTGAGCCATATGGGATAAAACTAGATGCGATTAAATTGATCCTTTTAACTTCAACCTGACATGCAAAGATTTGGGACTTGATGATGAATAGACAAACATACTGGAAATCCACTGCAGCCAACCTTCAGTATGAAGATGGCATGTGACCGATTTACTGACTTATACTGAACTATTCTAAATATTACCTCTTTGAATACATCCTTTGCCCTGTCATTCTGACCAATCATCAGATAGCTGACACCAAGCTCATTCTTCAAAGCAACATCTTCGGGGAACCTCTGGACCAGCGTTTTGAAAGTTTTCACAGCTTGACTTCCCCAACCTGGCAAAAAACACACCACAGTTGAACATAATACTTCTGGCATGCCTCTTCCTGCCCTGACACTGCCAGGCATTCCAGGAGAAAAGACAAGAAGAATACTTCAGCTTAAAAAAAGGTATTAGCGGACTGTGTTGTGGTTTCCAGCTAGACTGCGATATCTGTGCCTTTCAGTTTAACACATCCAATTTTAGAAAGCTCACAATTAGTTGACTTTTACAACATACTTGTGGAGGGCAGTGAGTTGATTCACACCCTCTCACCTCTTCCACATGGGCCCCAAAACCTACACGGGATGATACAAAATATATCATGTAGAAACTACCGATTTACTGATTGAAAAATCAACATCAAAGCACACTGTGCCTACCCAGAGATGCTCAGTCTCCAGCAGCAAATATCTCAAGGTGTAGATCAGGGCTGAAAATGAGGATCATCATGGGCCAGAGGCTCGAACCCCAGCATAGAAAGATAATTAATGCAATACAACTGACAATGATCTGCGGGCCACTTGCTAGGCCTCTGCGGGCCGTCGGTTGAACAGCCCTGGTGTAGATTCTAATGTTTCCGGTGGTCATCATCATCAAGTGCCTTGCCAGCTGGTGTAGTAATTCATGTGGCGCCACAGATCTGTCTTTGGTGTTCTGGATCAATTCCACTGATGATATTCCTCCATGCCACTGTCTTAAGCCATCCAACATCATTTCTCTTGGTCTGCCTCTGCCTCTTTCTACCAGTGATCTTTCCAGTCATCATATTTCCCAGTGCTCCTTTTCTCATCACATGACCAAAGAACTTTGTCTGTCTCCTTCTCATTGTTGTATATACTGTTCTACTTTCATTAGCCATTTCCAGGCATTCAGTGTTGGTTATTCTGGTAGTCCAAGGTATTCTTGCTTGCTTGTACCCCACCAAGACATCACACAAGCGATGAACACCCGGTGACACAAAGTGCCACCATGCAGATGAGGATCGCCCGTGGAGAGGTCCCAGAAACCCCTTTCAGCTGTTATAGCCACAACTGTGGCCCAGCTATATTCAAGGCTCCCGGCAAAAGCCAGGGTGGGGCTTCTAATAACGCATCCTACAAGGGGACGACACTCTTATATTGTACGAAGTTGAATTAAAAATGTTCTTCATGACATGTGATGGACGAACAAAACAACATGTAGAAAGGAATAATCATTCAGTGAGTTTCTTGCTGGGAAGGCACCTTTCTGTACTTTCCAGACAATAATATTGCAATGTGCCACAGAGACTGGAAATGGTTCATCTTATATCAGCAAGATATAAAACTAACGAGTCATAATTTGAAGTGGTCGTATGTCGATACATATTTTTCAAAAGTATTTTTTATTCAAAAGGGTTATAAGTCGAACTGGATGGACGTAAGTCAAATTTATATTTTTCAATACTTTTGTTTGTTTTTTGTTTGTTTTATTAAAACGGATTATAGAAACTGTGCATTAAACACAAAATGGAGTCTATGTACATATAATTATTGTGCATAATGTGAAAAAAGCATAATATGTACTCTACTGCGTCAGTTCCAGGAAATGTTTTCTTCATATGCACAGCTGGCAGAAAGTCACATGATTGTGAGCACCTTCACCTCCCAGGACAAAGATCAGTTTCATTTTTTGTTGTGCCAGGGCCTGCAAAAATGCAGGGAACTGAGCAAGCTGATTGGCTTGCAAGTAATGCTACTGTGAAGGGCTTAAAAGCCATAGACATGGCTGATATATTGAATGCTCTATGGCAGGGCTATTAAACTAAGTTTATTTTGAAAATGGGGATGGTCTCAGGCCAGAAGCCTGGGACCTAGCACAGAAATATCATTAACACAGTACAACTGGCAATGATCCACAGGCCACTTTCTACACCTCTGCAGGCCAGATTAGAAAGCTGACTAGCCCAGCTCTATGAGAAGTCAGACATTTGTGAGAACCAAGTGGCTGTGAATCTGCAGCCATGACCAGACTGCAAGAACAGCGTGTTAAAAGGAGTGTGGCCATATAAAAGCACAATGCACGAAGCCAAATAGGAATAATAAACCAACACAGAACTGAAATCATCAGGGATTTACTAAGCAGGGGATCTGATCACATATGGATTGAACGGTTCGATGTGCAATGAGGATAATCTGTTGACTAACTAATTAAGAAACTAATAAAAAGGGCACAAAACCACCCACCTCTGAACTGTTGCCTATCTGCCAGTTTACGCCCTGCAAGTTTCTGAAGCTCATCCGGCACATTAGGCAACTCTAACACCCGAGCCAGGAATTTTATTGCATGTTCCAGATTCTCGTTACTCATATACTTGAAGCCAAGCTGGTCTAAAGTCAGACCCTTGCCAAAGTGTGCGCGTGGACTTAAAATATGTTTCCGCAGTATCTCGTCATATTTCTCAATGGCCTTCTCTGGGTTTCCCTACTCATTAGAAACAAAACCAAAAACCATTATAAAACACCATTTAAACACGCAGGCACACATACACAAAGTACAGGGTGCCAGTAAGACAGGCAAGATCCCAGTGTGGGTTCCAGGGTCCCACTGTGGGGAGGTGGAGGGGGGAGGGGAGAGAAGACACACTCACTTCCCCATAACCATCAAGTATGCTGTACATTGTTCATTGTTTTCACTGCCCATCTGATGTGACCATAAGTGCTCCGATCTCCTCCTAAGTATGTCTCCAAATGTTTTTAGGCTAACAACTTCCATTCTGTTCCAGTTAATGTAACGACGGGTGGCTCCTGCATGGTTTTCCTGTCTCGCAGCTCCAGTTGGTACATTCAGGGTATGCAGTCTATTCAGTGAAAAATCGTTTATTCTCTCGTATGGCACTGGTGATGTCTCTCCTGTCCATAGATGGCCCATTCCTGACAGTCACACTGCCAGCCAGAGCATCTGCTCTCTCATTGCCTTTCACAAATAGGCATCTTGTAAAAGACCACTAATTAGGGGTACTTCCAAGTCATAGTACATCTGCCAGAGAAAGGAGGAACTAACAGTCTGCACATAAATAAGACAGATCTGTAAAATGAATGTGCACACAAAATTCAAGTTCTGGAACAAGACTAAAGTCAAGACAGGGACAAACAATCAGAACCTTCCACCGCAGTTTACAGCAGGTAAATACGGAGAAGAACAAGCCAGGCAAGGATACACACACATACAAGTACAAAGTAAAGGCCTAGAAATCCAAGGGTCTTGAGAAGGGGTAGGTATATGGTGGCGTCCCACACATTTGTACACGCCAGTCAGCACTTAATGTGTGAGGTGGTCAACTTCCTGCGGTCATCTTTACCCCCCCCCCCCCCCCCCCAACCTCATAACATATCCTGGTATCTGTTTCAAGCTGGGTCAACTATGGCACCAAGCTAACTTTTTTCCTGTGACAAATATATATGAAGGCTGGTTGCAGCAGAGAGATGTGCCTTTTGCAGTCTTTGGGAATATCTTAATATCTTCTTCTTTTTCTTAGCATTTACTGGCTGTAAACTCTGGCGAAAAGTTATGGTTGTTCGTCCATTTTTGGGAGTTGGCAGGTGCTTAACACTCTTGATGTCCTTAACAAGTCCTGATAGGTTCCAAGACAGTGCACGGTAAGTTTAATTTTTATAACACTTTTAGGTTTTTCACTCGAAGCCCCCCCCCCCCCCCCCTCCTCCCCTGTATGCCAGAATCACACACACTATAAATGCTGATTCGTTTTTAAACAAATTTGTCAAGTAATAATATGCACATAGATCTTCTCACAAAAAATATAAATGCATGACCATTTTCTGTGATTTGATTTGAATTTAGTTAAGAACCAAACCAAGCAGTGGTTGTCTGAACAGTTAGAATGCTGCACTTTCATGCGATAGACACAGGTTCGATCCTATAATATTCTGAAAAGCAGTCCTATAGGCAGCAAAGACACATACTATAAATGTCATAAAACAGTGTGCAAGGTAAAACAGCCACCCTCGCTCTACTTGATGATGAATACCCATAGAATCTTTGGGTTTGTGTCCATACACAAACAGAAATGGAGAAGCAGTAGTGTATACTGAGCATCCAAATAATTCCAGATATACATTCACAATATCTACAGAAAAGTACTGTCACAACTGTGATGCAGAAGTTCAAGCCATCAAAAGAGCAGCAGAGAAACCGTTAAATATGTCATATTTTACAGCCCGTGGTATTGCTAACAGATGCAACAGCGGTACTTCAGTCACTCCAATCTGGAAAATTAGCTGATATACGAACACTACTCTCCAAACTAGGCAACCAGTGTAAGGTAGTTATGCAATGGATACCATCCTACTGTGGAGTTACCAGAAATGGAAGAGCTGATAAACTTGCTAAGGAAGATACAACTGGAGAACAACCTGACATACCAGTCTCTTATCAACAGAAGAAAAGAATAATTTAATCAATCAGAAAGCCACCAAGACCGGCACAAGATGATTATCATATTATGGACAGACCAGAGCAAGTTATTATTCTACGCCTATGAACAGGACACAATCGACGGTCGCAGCCAAATGTACACAAAATTTGAAATCGGTTAATCAACCATATGGATTGTCACCTGAGACAACAGATCACGTCCTCTAAGACTGACCCAAAAACAACATATCAAGGCAAAACTTTTGGCCAAGAGAAACACTGTTGCCAGCCAGACTTTAATGGTCATTGAGTGAATCACAAAAGACAGCGAAGTTCATACTAGAGACAACATTGCAGAGATAGATAATTTATTTGAAGCGAACGAAAGAAGAAGCACTATAAATGTTGGTTTGTTCTTCTAATGCATTTTACAGGTAATATGCATATATTACATGCATGTCCACAAGCTGAAAGGAGAAATTCAGGACTATTTTCTACACATAATTTCAGCTAAGTTTAAAAAAAGAATCTACATTGCATTACCCAGGGCTTTACCATCATCCATGCTTTGAGCTGTCTCTTCGTCCTCTGTACTTTATCCCCCAATGGAGCATAGGTCACACCCAGTTGTCTTATCCTTTGCTATTACATGTATCTAACCCTATGTCCTCTCTAACTTTATTACTTCATGCCCTAGCTCCCTTCTCCATGGTTTTGTGTGTGTGGTAAGCTTTTATTTCTATGTCCCTGTGTGTTTTAATGCAAAGACATTCTAGTTATATTGTCCTGAGATTTCCTCAATGTGTGCCCTAACAACACCAGCATCTTTTCTTCACCTCCTAATTCACTGGAGTTTATTTCATTCTCTCCCAAAGCTCTAAATTAGTGTTATCTCATACCACATAATTCCCTCTGTTCTGTGCAGGCACCACCAGTTAATGGAATGTTTGTAGTTTGTAGTAACAGCATCAGAATTTAAAATTGTAATCTTAGAATTAGCTTTAATTTCTCTGACTTCCACACATTCCCAAGTGCTATAAAAACTCCTTTTGTCTTCTATATTCATATTTGTAATACCTCTCAGTTCCACCTTTATCTACACTACTGCCCAAACATGTGTATGACTCCGCATCTCAGTCCATGTTTTAAGGTGTATGGATATAGAAAAAGTAAAGTAGAAAAAAGACTCTTTTCATGCCTTAGATACATCCGGTATATACTTAGTTCTTCTTCTTCTTTACATCCTTATTTACCGCTTTGGGTGTTGAGGGAGATACAGTATCCTGCTTCGTGCTCTTCTGGCTGCTTCAACCATAGACACATCGTGGTGCTGTAGAGTTTCTCTGATGTTATCCTAACACCTTGTTCTTTTTCTACCTCGTACTCTACGAACTTCTCCTCTTTTGATATATGCCTTGTTCGGTATAGTATCAGAAGGCATTAGCTCCAAGTGGGCATACCATTTGATTTGTTGTCTTTGTATATAATTTAGAACTGGTTCTGTGCCGACCTTATCTCGTACGACCTCATTCCTGATTTTATCTCTTCTGGTCACACCTACAGACTTTCTCAGACAACACATTTCCATGGTTACTAATTTTCTTTTATGTTGTTGTTGTGAGTGACCACGTCTGGCACTGGTAGCATAAGGTGGGAATGAATATAATTTGTATGAGATGTCTCTTTGTGCTGACTGGGATTGCCCTATGCTGTAAAAAAAAAGAGGGGGGGGGGATGGTTGAACCAATATTCGGCCTGTTAGTTAGTTAGTTGACAAATCATCCTCACTGCAGTTAAAAAACTTTAGTCCTAAGTGCTCTGATCCCCTCCTCAGCAAATCAGATGGTGAAACATGGCAGCCTATTGGCATGGCACATCGTGATGATATGGTCTTATATTATTGAGTGAGTTGTTGTGTCTGTAGCAAAAGGGGATGAAAATGGCTGTTTATCGCTCTAACCTATGTGCCAGTCCTGACCTATGGGTGTGAGTCATCGGCAATGACAACAGCTCACAGAAGCCAGTTTCAGGCCTTAGAAATTAGATATCTGAGAAAGTGGTCGAAGTGACAAGAATGGACAAAGTTCGCAATCAGACAATATGTCAAGATCTTGAAACCCAGGCCTTACAAACTCAAATGGATCAGTCACAGATATGATGGTTTAGACAGGTATGCAGAAAGGGAGAAAATCAGCCACCACGGCAGGCATGGAAGCCCAAGAACCAGGGAACCAAACCTCCAGGACAACATAGGGTCCACTGGGAAGACAACACCTGACAGTCCCTAACTGACAGAGGACTGGAATGGAACAAAGCCAGAAAGAAAACTACTGATAGAGAAGTCTGGCGATCTCTCTTCCAAACCTCTACTCCCAAGGTAGAAGAGGATCGACTGAGTAAGTTCCATTTGTAGCTGGCATTTAAATATTCACACAGAATTAACAAAACAACTATGTGACGAAAAAACCAAACACTAAAAGATATACATTTCTAATGTGTGTTTTCTTCTATTAAAATTGTTTAACTTACTTTGTCTAAAAATTCATCAGCTTCATCGAGCTCTGCATAGACACTGAAGTCATCGTCATTTGTAACAGAAGCCTTAGCGTAAGTAGTTTTATCTGCCAGTTTGGCCTGGGGTTCAGTTTCTTTTGACTCTTTTAGCCTGAGATCATCAGCAGGTGCTTTGTCTGTATTTTTGTCCAGCCGCTCAGCAACAGATTCTTTCTGTGAAAGCTAATCTTCTCAGCTCCTAAATCATTTCCTGCCTCATTACTGCTCTTGGCTAATGATACATCTTCAGTATCTTTACTTGTCACTTTGACATTGATCCTTTCAATAACGGGTTCAGTGTCTTCTTTAACAGACTGGCTGCTTTCTTTGATTGGCTCTCTGTTATCTTTCACTGGCTCTTTGGTTTCTTTAACTGGCTCTTTTGTTTCTTTCACTGGCTCTTTAGTTTCTTTCACTGGCTCTTTAGTTTCTTTCATTGGCTCTTTAGTTTCTTTAACAGGCTCTCTGGTATCTTTCACTGGCTCTCTTGTTGCTTTCACCTGCTCTTTAGTTTCTTTCGCTGGCTCTTTAGTTTCTTTAACTGGCTCTTTTGTTTCTTTAACTGGCTCTTTAGTTTCTTTAACTGGCACTTTAGCTTCTTTAACTGGCTCTTTAGTTTCTTTCACTGGCTCTTTAGCTTCTTTAACTGGCTCTCTGGTTTCTTTCGCTGGCTGTTTAGTTTCTTTAACTGGCACTCTAGTTTCTTTAACTGGCTCTTTAGCTTCTTTTACTGGATCTTTAGTTTCTTTAACGGGCTCTCTGGTATCTTTCACTGGCTCTTTATTTTCTTTTACTGGCTCTTTAGTTTCTTTCACTGGCTCTTTAGTTTCTTTCACTGGCTCTTTAGTTTCTTTAACTGGCTCTTTAGTTTCTTTCATTGGCTCTCTGGTTTCTTTCACTGGCTCTCTGGTTTCTTTTGTTGTCTCTCTGGTATCTTTTGTTGGCTCTTTAGTTTCTTTAACAGGCTCTCTGGTTTCTTTCACTGGCTCTCTGGTTTCTTTCACTGGCTCTCTGGTATCTTTCACTGGCTCTCTTGTTGCTTTCACCTGCTCTTTAGTTTCTTTCGCTGGCTCTTTAGTTTCTTTAACTGGCTCTTTTGTTTCTTTAACTGGCTCTTTAGTTTCTTTAACTGGCACTTTAGCTTCTTTAACTGGCTCTTTAGTTTCTTTCACTGGCTCTTTAGCTTCTTTAACTGGCTCTCTGGTTTCTTTCGCTGGCTGTTTAGTTTCTTTAATTGGCACTCTAGTTTCTTTAACTGGCTCTTTAGTTTCTTTAACTGGCTCTTTAGTTTCTTTTACTGGCTCTTTAGTTTCTTTCACTGGCTCTTTAGTTTCTTTCACTGGCTCTTTAGTTTCTTTCACTGGCTCTTTAGTTTCTTTCACTGGCTCTCTGTTTTCTTTCACTGGCTCTTTAGTTTCTTTCACTGGCTCTTTAGTTTCTTTCACTGGCTCTTTAGTTTCTTTAACTGGCTCTTTAGTTTCTTTCACTGGCTCTCTGGTTTCTTTTGTTGTCTCTCTGGTATCTTTTGTTGGCTCTTTAGTTTCTTTAACAGGCTCTCTGGTTTCTTTCACTGGCTCTCTGGTTTCTTTCACTGGCTCTCTGGTTTCTTTCACTGGCTCTTTAGTTTCTTTCACTGGCTCACTGGTTTCCTTTGCTGGCTCTCTGGTTTCTTTTGCTGGCTCTTGGTTTCTTTAACTTGGCTCTTTAGTTTCTTTAACAGGTTCTCTGGTTTTCTTTTGCTGGCTCTTTAGTTTCTTTCACTGGCTCTCTGGTTTCTTTCACTGGCTCTTTAGTTTCTTTCACTGGCTCTCTGGTTTCCTTTGCTGGCTCTCTGGTTTCTTTTGCTGGCTCTTTAGTTTCTTTAACTGGCTCTTTAGTTTCTTTCAGTGGCTCTCTGGTTTCTTTTGCTGGCTCTTTAGTTTCTTTCACTGGCTCTCTGGTTTCTTTCACTGGCTCTTTAGTTTCTTTAACTGGCTCTTTAGTTTCTTTAACTGGCTCTTTAGTTTCTGTAACTGGCTTTTTAGTTTCTTTCACTGGTTTTTTAGTTTCTTTGACAGGCTCCCTGGTTTCTTTCACTTGCTCTTTAGTTTCTTTAACTGGCTCTCTGGTTTCTTTTTTGCTCTTTAGGTTTCTTTAACTGGCTCTTTTGTTTCTTTAACTGGCTCTTCAGTTTCTTTAACTGGCTCTTTAGTTTCTTTCACTGGCTTTTTAGTTTCTTTAACTGGCTCTCTGGTTTCTTTTACCGGCTCTCTGGTTTCTTTTACCGGCTCTCTGGTTTCTTTTACTGGCTCTTTAGTTTCTTCAACCTGTTCTCTGGCTTCTTTCACAGGCTGTTTTACATCTACAACTGTTTCTGCCCTTTCTACAGCTGGCTTTCTCTTTGATTCAACATTTTTTTACTGACATCCTCAAAAGTTCCAGCTAGTTTGTCAGCTAGATCATCAACTGTGTGCAGGTTTTCTTGAGTTCCCTCATCAGCTACATTTTCTTTCAACAATTCACGGATGAATTTTAAATCCAGACCTTCAGGTAAATTAGGCTCAATGTACGAACGAAAAGCATTCTCTGAAAATAAAAGTAGAGTAGTTTAGAAAAAGAACTGTTAATTTTTGGAAAGAAACGAAGCACTGATATTTCTTACTTCTATTTCTTCTTCTCTTCCACCTTGTACCTCATCGAAGTGTTGGGGGGAGATGTAACATTTGTTGATGAGCTCTGTCAAGAGCACTTTTAAGACTGATGTTCATTTTTGTAAGGCTGTTCTTAATGCGATTACTCTATCTTCTCCGAGGTCTTCCACTTGCTCTACACCCGTTGTAAAATTTTGGTGTGGCTCTCTGTGGCAGATAGTACAAGTTGTTAGGTGTCCAAACCACTTCATTTGTTGTTCTTTGATGACCTGTAGGACTGGCTTTATTCCTAGCATTTGTCTGATTTTGTGATTTCGTATTCTGCCTTTCCTTGAAACTCCTGCAGCTCTTCTGAGGCATTTAATCTTTGTTGTCACAATACCACTGTCAAAACAAAGAAAAAGCGGTCTGCTGCCAAATCACCTGCAGCTGGGATCAAACCCTGCACCACCGGAGAAACAAAGCGTGTAATTTGCCCCTTCTGTGGTGTAGGCAGGGAGGTCTTTGAGTCTGGTGGTTTAGGCCAGTCACAATCACCTGTGCAGGTTAGGATTGTATTTTTCCTCGCTACAGAACACAATAAAAACAGTAACCTTTCCAAGGATTCAAACCTGGCTCTCCGTGTGGGTTTTCCATGTGGATCTTCAATGCACAACTTCCATGTGGGTATTCAATGTGGAACTTTCATGTGGATATTCAGTGTGGATCTTTCAAGCAGAACTTCCATGTGGATATTCCTTGTGGATCTTCTATGTGGATCTTCCATGTGGATATTCCATGTGGAACTTCCATGTGGGTATTCCATGTGGAACTTTCATGTGGAACTTCCATGTGGGTATTCCATGTGAGACTTCCATGTGGATTTTCCATGTGGAACTTTCATGTGGATTTTCCATGTGGATATTCCATGTGGAACTTCCAAGTAGAACTTCCATGTGGAACTTCCATGTGAGTATTCCATGTATGAGATAAAAGATGCTGGACAGTTTGACATCATGGTATGAAAGATAATGTTTATCACAACTGATTGAAAGTACATGAGACAGTAGGTTGTCTACAGATATGACTACTAATGCCAAACGGCAAGGACTTGAAGAAGAAGAAGAATATCTATATATTTGAGGGGAAAAGTAGATAAATAAATATGAAACTAATTTATTAGTGACATGTGTTCAATAGTTTGTAGATAAATAAATATGTAACTAATTATTAGTGACATGTCTCCAATAAATTTTTTCAAGATTTTTTGGGGGAATTCCAGTGACGGTCATTGTCCAATTTTTGTAGTGTCCCAGGGACGAGAGGGTTAAAGAATGATTGTTCAGACAGATAAAGGAGTTGAAGAACCAAGTGGAAAATCTGGGTTAAAAAAAAATTGTGTACAGAACAGGGAAACTGAATGGCTAAGAAAGTGTGGGTTAATTTCCGTCTTCCAGGGGTATCAGGAATTAAGAAAAACACATTATGTATCAAGCCATTGATCACTGGCATCATAAGAGCTAAAGACTGAAATGGCTGGGGCATATTGATAGAATGTCAGATGACACAGAGGTAAAAACTGTATACCCATGGAACCTGAATGGTCGAGACCACGAGGCAGATCAAAAGACGATGGAGAAATAATGTCCAGACAGACCTGCAAACACTTGGTGTCACTAACTGGAAAGAGAGGGCCAACCAGAGAGATGAATGGAAGCGCATGGTATCTGCAGCAATGAACCTCAAGTGCTTGGAATGCTGAAGAAGAAGAATATTATGTATAGAGTAACTAATTAACATATGGTGTGCAAAGGTAGATAATTAAACTCTTAGAGTAAAAGAAAACATCTCTTTCAATAGCCCTTTTACCTTTCTTCTTCTTCAGTTCACTGTTAACAGAGCAGCTGGCAAGGCCTGCTTCAATATCTACACCTTTCTGTCTAACAAATCCAATTTAGCAAACTCCTATTTAGCTGCCTTTTGTGACATACTTTTTAGGTTGGGGGCAGTGGGTCGATTCTGTTCTATTCGAACAAAGATGAGATCCCCTGAACCCAGACAGTATCCGTGTGTACTCTAGTGGATATGCTGAGACTGCAGTCTGTGTCTATTTTTTTTACAAGGGACAGTGAGGGACATTCTGTGGATTTCTCGTTGGCACAGGAGCAGAGCAACTATGGGGTGGGGAGTGGGGGGGGGAGATTTGCTATGAAGTTGAAACTAAGATTACCAAGACTACCATACAGGAAGTACATAATTCAATTTCATACATAAGACTGGCTCTTTAGTATCTGCACTGAAACAAGGGAAACCACCCAAGTTACTGGAAACTATAGTTTGTTTATGAAACACTAGCAAGTCTTACCTGAAATCTCTCGTACTTCAGTACTGAAAAAGACGCTACAGGCAGCCACTCCAACACCAACAATAATGGCAACTATCAGCCAACATTTTGAGCAAGATTTCTTTCCAGCAGTAGATCTGAGGATCAAATTATTTCAAGGCATTTCAATACTGCAGTGTCAACTGCTAACACATTGTCCAGATTCTCTAACCTCACTGTACTAATGCCCTGTTCTCCTGGGGGAACCAATTTATCGATATTTTGAAGCCCCATCCTTGCTGTTGCCGGGGGCCCTAATATAACACAACCTATGGGTGGAACAGGGTTTCTGGGATCTGTCCCCAGGTGAGCCTCATGTGAATGGTGGCACTTCGTGTCAGGTTTCTGGAACCTGTCCCCGGGTGAGCCTCATGTGAATGGTGACACTTCGTGTCAGGTTTCTGGGACCTGTCCCCGGGTGAGCCTCATGTGAATGGTGGCACTTCGTGTCAGGTTTCTGGGACCTGTCTCCGGGTGATCCTCATCTGAATAGTGGCATTTTGTATCTGGGTGTTTACCGCTTGGTGTGATGTGGGGTTGAACGTCAGTCAGTCAGTTTGTTCTTGCAGGATCACCATCAATTTCTTTCACTACACTTGCACTGGACTTGGTTTCTACCCCTTTTCCATCACTTTACACAAGGGAGCCTGTTCGTAACATGAGTGGGTCTAGCAAGTCACACTCACCAGTGCCATGAGGTGTGATTTTCCTGCCTCCCTACAGCACAATTTAACACTTTAATGTCAAAGACTAAAATGCATTAACCCTGTTTCCAAGATATCTCTCAAAATACCCAATTTCTATCCCACTAGATGCATTAACCCAGTTTCTATGACACCCTCAACCCACTTTCTATGACACTCTCTACCCATTTTCTATCATATTACATGCATCAACCCAGATTCTCCAAAACCTCTCAAAATAAAAAAATGTCTATGAGCAAATATGCATTAATCCAGTTTCTATGTTACCTCTCAAAGTACCCATTTTCTACGACTCTACATGTATCTCCCAAGTTTCTATGATACCTCTCTAAGTACCCATTTTCTACCACTCTTCATTTGTCCCCCAAGTTTTTACAATACCTAAGTACCCATTTTCTAGCACTCTACATGTGTCCCGGAAGTTTTTACAATACCTAAGTACCTATTTTCTACCACTCTACATGTGTCCCGGAAGTTTTTACAATACCTAAGTACCCATTTTCTACCACTCTACATGTGTCCCCCAAGTTTCTACAATACCTCTCAAAGTACACTTTTTTTACCGAGGTGAGATGGATAAACAATCAGACAGTTACTATCAGAATTTGAACTCTGTGCTTGGTGCTGAAGATGGGGATGGGGCACTTATGAAAATGTCCTGAATGTTTTGATGTTGATTCTTAACTAAATGTTAGTCTTATTCCAGAATTTGAGTTTTGCAGGTACATCCTTTTTATAGATCTGGCTTTTTTTAAAAGCATAAACTTTATTTGTTTTAAAACTAGAACTACCCAGCAATGGCTACCATTGAAAACAAAACAACCATAAATTAAACTTACTTCCCATTATTTCGCTGCCTGCTCTTTGTGGCTACAATAGGTCTTGTTTTTTGTGGACTTCCCTGAGTTTTTCGTTGATCCTTCTTCTCTGAGCCATTCTGAGAGATTCTCCCTGACTCTGGAGTTAGTACACTGGAGGCTGGTGAATAGTTAT